AGAGATGTGGCTGGACAGGGACAACACCCGACTCAGGCACATCCACATGCCAGCCGCCAGATGGCAGCACAAACTTAGCACAGCCCTTCTCTCTAAGAAAAGGGCTTTATTTTTCTTCACCAAATTGAGCCCACAGGAGGGGGTGTAGCTGTTGACTGCAATCTGCTGGTTGCCTCCCACACGGGATTTCGCAGATGCCTGGAATTTGGGAGAGCCCAGTGATGTATGGCTTCACCTCCCACTCCGTCCTGGAGGCTGCTGGCTGGGCCATGGTTGGAGCCGTGGGTGCCAGCCACCCCCGAATTAGTCTCCAGTACAGATATGGGTGGAAGACAGGTCATGGCCACAAGTTCACAGAAGATGGGGTGAAATGTGCTTACTGACCCGAAGCCTGGGACAAAGGCAAAGAGGAGGAGAGCAGCCCCAGCTGGAATGGGACTGAGAAGGAGGGGGTAGCCCAGCTGGTGTGGCTCAGTGATTGAGAGTCGACCCAGGAACCAAGAGGTCACTGGTTCAATTCCCGGTCAGGGCATATGCCCAGGTTGCAGGCTCAATTCCCAGTAGGGAGCGTGCAGAGGGTAGCCAATCGATGAAGTTTCTTTCTCATCGATGTTTCTACCTCTCTATCCCTCTTCCTTCCTCTTTTTCTGAATATCTATAAAAAACATTAAAAGGAAAAAAAAGGAGGGGGCAGCCACAGTGGGATGTGTAGAGTAGAAGAGTCAGTGCTCGTCATATGTTGGAATTTCCCAAAAAGCGCCCTAAAGGTGGGGGGATGGTGTGAAACACCTTAGCTTGAAAGTCTCCCCACCCAGCCCCTGCTGGATGCCCTGGGGGTGTTCGGGACATAAATCATTAACGTGGTCTGTGTAGTTTCCCGGAGGAGCCTGGCCCCGCCTGTCAACTCAGCGTGGCCCTCCCTGCCCCCGTGCATTGTGGGGGCCAAAGCCCTGACCGCTCACCTGGGGCTGATCCGCTTGGCCACTACGATGATGTCGCTGACGCTGGCCGAAGTCTTCATCTTGGCCCCGGAGCCCATCGTCATGGCAACAAGTTTTTCTGTCAGAGTGTGACAGATCTAAGGCAGCAAGGAGGACAGAGGTGATGAGGGGTGACCCAGCTCCCGAGGGCCTTCTGCCACTCCCACAAAGACAAACAGGACCCCCGCCTTGGGTCCCATCCCACAGCTGGGCCCCCATCCACATGGGGTCAAACTGAAGTGAACAGTACACAGAAATGAGAGGAAATGAGGTGGAAGAGGCCGACGCTGAGAACTGGCCGGGTGAGGAGGGAGGGGCAGGAACCTCAGATCGGGGTCAGGGTTCAGCGTAGAGAAGTCTAAACTGAAATAATCTGTCTAAGGAAAATCATGTGCTCTCATTTCACCGTCTCGCGTAAAGGGAAACCCATTTTCTATTCCTTCCCCTTCCTGTTT